GCTTGTATTCACAAACAAAATCAGTGGCGAAGCTAGCCACCTTTGGCCACCGTTAGCCACCGGTAGCACTGTGTTTACTGGGCGGTATTTTCCTCAGCTTAGTTCTCGGTCTGAGCCTCTCAAGCTAGCCTTCACGTCAAAACAACCACAAAAGGTGCTCAAGGTCTATTAATGCCCAAAACGAAATCAGGAACAGATGTACAGCGCTTCGTAAATATAGCGTAAGCGGTTATAACTTTCTGGAATTTCTGACGCGTTCTGGATGCGCCATTGGCAACCGGCATTTGGCCAATACTGTGTCATGATTGACTGTTGGATCCAGATTGTTGACCAATCAGATCTCGTCTTGATGCCGGACCGGCAAGCGTCCCGAAATTCTGGACCAACCTCAAGCGGGCCAGGCTTCTCGGCCGTAGCAGCGCCTAAAGACGTGCAGTATAGCGGGATTTGTGTGGATTCCTGCCTAACTACCGTACTCTGAATAATCGTATGACGAGACGGTCTGAAAGTAAAGTCGTACTGTCCTCTGCGATAGGAGTGTGAAAGCAGTAAAGCGGTTCCGCAAGGGGACCATATCAATAGGGGGAGCAATGCCCCCCTCCCGGAGGAAGGACGAGTGGGAATAGGATGACCCTAAAAAACCGCACACTCCGATCGCTCAACGGTTGATCGTGACCGCTTGAGCATTATTCAATGCAGATGAAATACTTTTGAGACCGAAAATCTCGGTGCTCCTTAAGAGGCACTCCTAAGCGCGGCCACATCAATTGCGACACAGCTGTATCCTATTCCCTGCACCCTGGGGCCAGTTCATCCCTCTACATCCAACTGTCAGAGTTATTGGTTCAGGGAATGGTCCAAAAAGAAAACCCTACTTTTCGCTGCCTCGTGGGTCAGACTGTTGAGTCAGAGACTAGGGGTAGGGTCACAGAACAGAACCCTATGTCCTCCCACTGCCTTGTGGACCAGGCTTTTGAGTCGAAGGTACAGGGTGGAGTACCTCAACTAAACCCCCTTTTTCGGCTTCGGAAGGAGGAAGTATCATTCATTCTTGCAACTCTGCGGTCACTGGCCATCCCCTCCACCCTCTCCACACCCGTCGAGCGATATAGTACCACCAACCAATCTGCCAGTCCCAACCAACTGTTCCTTGCCTAAACCATCGCCCAAAAATCCAAACCAAAACGACCACTTACTAACCCCAAAAGATCTGATCCCCGTTGCATACTTTAACGTCCGTACTCTATGTCAAATCGGGCAACAGGCACCTCTCGCTGAAGCCTTGCTTTTCCTATCCATCGACGTATGCCATGCCTCCAAAACACGCATACAAGACCCCACTTTAGTCGTGCTCCACAATCCTCTTAGGACGAGCCCAGATATTCCACATTTCACTCTTCGGGTATCCGGTAATCCTGATGCAATGCCTTGTGGTGTCATAGGTGTGGGAGTTGCATTTGGCCCCAAGGCTGAAAGCGCCTTACCGGGCTGGATCCCCGTAAACAGGCGTTCTTGTGTCGTGTGGTTATCTGGCTCAGTTAAGGTAAATGTGGGTTGGTGCGGTAAACTGTTTATTTCCCGTATCAGCATATGCCACGACAGACTGCAGTTTTGAGACAGAGAAACAGGTTTTTTCAAGACCTTTCACACCTGTTTCAGCCAGCAAGAAGGACGGAATAGTAGTCCTGGCGGACGAATTGAATGTCCAAGTTGGACGACTAATCCCAGAGGGAGTACAATTAGTTGGTGGATTGTATCACAGCGGGATGTCGGTGTTAAACGCGGATGTCATGCTGTTGATGAGGATGACGGGGTGATAGATTTGGAATCAATGATCGCCGTACGGATAATCGGAAGCAACTGCTGTGAGCTTTCGTAACCATTTGTCCAGGCTTTCTGGCTCGACTAAATGGATACTGAATGCCGCCAAGACCATCAGACCTTATTTCTGCCAGAAAGATCATACCAGCAACGTACGGCCGTGCAGATCAAACACTGGATAATCAGGAGCCTGAAAATGATAGAGAAAGCTGATTGATTTAGAACGCTTTCGCTGCAGGCAACAGCCGCGTCCCTTTTCAACCGTTCCAATCGACCGGTAGAGAGAAGGCAAGTGTCAATGAAACAATATGCGAAAAAGACGGAACGGCAATTTACTCCCTCAATCGGCGTTCTGAATGGTGGGATGAGCACTTCAAAGAACGATTCAGCTGGTCCCTTCAGTAAAACCACCAGAAGAACCCAGCGAGCCTGAATGGAACAACCTGTCATCAGCAACCGAAATCCTCAAGCCCGACAAGGCACCCGGCCCTGATGCTCTGCACCCCGCACCCATCAAAGAAATTGGTGAGGTCAGGGTCAACAGTCCCAGCCATACCGCATAAGATTTGAAACGAAAACAGAATGCCAGACGAATGGATCTTCCCGACCATCATCCCGGTCTTCAAAAAGGGTGCAAGAACGCCATGTGAAACCCATCGTGGTATCAGCCTGGTATCCATCGTATCTAAGCTGCGTCGTATCTAAGCTGCTCTCTTGCTTTATTTTGCGCAGGTTGATGGATTATCTGGAGAGACAGATTCGCGAGAATTAAGATGGGTTTCGCCCTGGTCGAGAATGCATCGACTACAACTTTACCTCCAGAGAGCTTGTTGAACAGTGCCACCCTTTCAGATTCCCCATGCTGGTCGTTCTTCTTGATCCAAAAGCTGCCTTCGACTTCGTCGATCGTCATAAAATGCGGCGGTGTCTGGCGACTAAACGTGTCCCTTTCAAATTTATACCCCTTACGAGGGCACTGTATGCGAACTCCTGTGGGCGCGTACGAAGTTACGGGAAGCATGTGTTCACCACGTCCATTGACGTAGGAGAGGCTACCCCCTCTCGCCTTCTTTCAGCTGTCATTGATATGCTGCTTGAAATTTCTCCGCCGGCTCCTGAAACCTCGAATGGCGATATGCTCCAGGGACGTTCAGTCACAAACATTGAGCATGCGGGCTATATTGCTCTCCTTGGTTCATGTCCTCATTTTGAACAACCTAAATAACACTGTTGCACGGTTTGATGTGCGCTTCACACCTTCAAAATGGACACACTTATAAGTGCTGCTACAACACTGGACGGTCCTCAAAAAATTAAAATCATTTTGAATAACCCAAATAACACTGTTGCACGGTTTAATGTGCGCTTCACACCTTCAAAATGGATACACTTATAAGTGCTGCTACAACACTGGACGTACGGGAACCGATCAGATGCTTTTGAGTAGTCAAAAAATAGACCATCCGGCATGAGTCCCCTCGTCCTTGGCTTGGATTAAGCTGTCCACATAAACACGAGAAAGTTCGTCAAGCAAAAACGGTTTGGGAGAAATCCGTGTTGAGCTGGAGATATCAAGTTTTTGGAAGTAAGGCGATCTAGGATAGTTCGCCTCGGAATGCTTTCCATTATCTTGCACGGCACGCTAGTGAGGCTTGTAGGCCTGGAGCTGCCAGGCGATTGTCGGTCACGAGTTTTGCAGATTGGCGTGGAAATCGCTTCCTTATAAGCCGAGAGGCGGCCTTCGTAAAGCGACTGACCAAACATCTGGTAGAAAAGATTTGCCAACGTAGGCGACGTCTCCCCCAGGATGCTTGTTTGGACCTCGTCGGGCCCCAAAGCGCAGAATGTGCAAGAGCTTGTGCAAGAGTTGACGAATGCCCTTCATCGTAAAGACCAAGTCAAGTAGAGGCAGTTCGAGCAGGCCATTTAGTTGAGTCATAGGTACGCGAATTCTGGTCGCTTGTACATTCACAGGACATTCAAAGAGACCACCTGCTCAGCTCAGTTCTCAGTCTGAACCTTCAGGGCTAGTGTTACCTTAAAAAGTATCACCGAGATGCGCAAAGTGTATTAACGCCCAAATCCAGATCAGCAATAAATCCACAGTGCGTTGTATTTAAAGTGGATGACGTGACAACGTCCTGGAAATTCTGATGCATTCTGGACGTAACACTAGCAACCGGCATTCGGCATATGCTGAATCGGGTCTACAGTTGGATCCACACTTTGCACCAATCGGAGCTCGAGTTAATGAAGGACAGACAGGTGGCCCGTTCTTCTGGCCAATCGTGTGCAGCCTAGACTTCTTGGCCATTTTGGCCTCTGATTATTTCTCCGGCAAGAGGTTTTCAAAGGTTGGTCGAATGAATCAAGTGGAGTAGCTTGCCGGCCTTTCTAGCGTTCTTTGCTGTAGTATACACGCTACGGAAGCACCAGGGGAGGCAGGTGTTCACGACGATTTCTGTGGATGGAGAATAGATACAAAGCTCATGAGCCGAAGTCCAGTACGCAAGGCTGTACATCACCAATACCTATATGTAAACCAATCAAACTGATGGACACCGTATACTATATTTGCATCTTCCATTTCTTCAGCCTTTCGGGTCCACCAAGCTTCTCGGTCTGCACGGACACCCAGTTTCACCAGGCGTCGGATGATGCGCCGGGTAGAATTGTGATGGCGGCCAGGTAGAATCCGTCGCCGGGTCTCCAGCAGAGACACGGTCCTATCAGAGATCCAATGCTCGAATGAGGTTCGCTGGGTTTTACCGGAAACAGACATTCCGGTTTTGAGTAGCGCTTCGGATATCTTTTCCCGTTTATATCCGACACCGTGCCGTCCGACAGGCATGTGGGGAGCTGGTTCTGGTAGTTTCGTTTGAATTCTGGGTCCACTAGCTTCTCAATGGCTAAGAGAGCTGTGTGCTATTTGCGTACACCCGAAAAGCGAAATAAAAAGCAACAGCATACAAGTACATTTTCGGGGTCCAATCTGGTGTTCCAGAAGGAGCGCCAGGCGGTGATTGACCCTCGCCACCGATAACCGACGGTGATATGGTCTACTTGGATTCGGCACTGGTTTGTTGGTGGGCACCAAGTTGTCAAGCGATTTCCACTGTTCCGGAAATTCGTACTGCAGTCAGAGCTAGTGTCAGTTGGGGCGTAAGCAGACGCAATAGACAAAATGCGATGAACCTCACTTCTTCTAGATTCTCTCACCGATGTTGCCAAACGAACCGCACAGAGGCGACAATTGACTGGTATCCAATCAAGCAAAAACGCTTCCGCCCGTTCGTTCAATACAATACCCACCCCAGCATACCCAGCGGCATCGGCCTCTGTACCACCAGAGGTGCGTCAGCCGGATCCTGGATGACAACGAGGGGGCCGTCGGTTCGATTACAGTACTTGCGTTCTGTGTCCTTGTTTCTGCCAGACAACATACATCGATGCAGAGGGAATCCAACCTGGCAGTATCCCAATCCTCATGATTCCTTCGCGTGTTACAGCTGAACGATTATTATTTTACTTATATCATGCTTGGTAATCTTACTTCATTTTAGGTACTCATATCCAATGATGTGGAGCTACATTGTTCAGTCCCCACTCCGTTGCGTTCACATAACCATGTTTCGTCCTAGTTTCCCACAATCCTTCCCCCTGCAACGTTTTGCAGCTCAGTGGCAGTAAGTTAAACCTAGTTCCTGCCAAAGTTTCAGTCAACTTTGTAGAACCAACCCGTACATTCAGCATATCAATTATAGTGCATATTCTACAGTCCCAACCAGTTCAACTCAGGCCATCACCGACTCGAATCGTCGACTTGATGTAAATTATCGGATTATCTTTTTGGTTTCTAACCGAGCTGTTGTTAGGGAGAGGAGACTGCTGAACGAGACGTGCTGTACAAAAAGATAGTACTTACCGTGAAAGGACACGAACCGGAGGTTTTGCAAAGCTATCAATCATTTGTGCAGGAAGTCTGTGAAAATTTGGCGCTGAACCTACATTGGTAATTTGATGTTGCAGTCAGATAGCTGTCCGTGTCTAGTGAGACTCGAAATCGCCCCCATTTTAAAAGGCTATCCTTGAACAAGTCCCCGTTCATTTACAAAAAACACCAGCGGCAGTACGAGTTCCGAACCTACTACAAATACTTCACGGTAAGCTGTCCATCTTATGATTCCCTACAATAGCGCTGTGGTACATTCGAGATTGATTCGGATAACTTAGCCTTCTGACCTTGCTCTTTTCATTGCATCACTATCACCAACAGATTTCACGGATCACGGGCTGTACTGCTGATGTCTTTCTGGAGTATGTGCAGCGAAACTTGCCGGAAGGGGTGGCAATGGAGTGTGCCCGGGTGAGTTTACACCCTCTTCTTGAATTGTCTGTGTTCCGATTGCCGGTCTGTCAGACTACTGGGTGTTTCTAAAAAGTTGCATTCTTTCTCCGTTCATATCAAACATCTCATTTAAGCACTCCTAGTGCTTTGGAATTCAGGCGGGCACAGTATTGTTGATTTTGTTTTGGTAACGTCTTCTTGTAATAGGCGCAGTTGGATGCGTGCTAAATTTGCCATCTGTCCTAGTTTACTTAAGCCTCAAATCGCTGACAAAATCAAACTACCCTTGTGCGTAGACTAATATCTTGTCGTGTTTTTTTAAAATATTTATATAACTTCGGCAGTTTTCGTGTGAATTTTTCTGTCTTGCTCGCAATAATAATAATGATTATGAAACAAGCGTTCAACTCTAGCACCTTTCTCGTGCCTAGCTGCCATAGCAGCTAGGCTGAGGTGCTGCCAGGTTTCCCAAGCCCGGACAGGAGAAGTTGGGTTACTGCGGTTGGATTGGAATTACGGACTTCCCAGTCATTAAGTTTACCCCTTTACCAATGAGCTATCTCGAGGTCGCAATATCTCAATGGCTAAAGTGTCCTAAAACTGTCAACTTGTCGTGATCGCCTCCTGTGTTGCGACGATCCTGTGAGCTATACTGGCTGGAATTCAGTTCCTAAAGGTTCAACTATGCCAGGAAGGCCGATGGAGAGCAGCCCGATGATAAACAGCGAGTCCCCGTACTGAGAGTAATCGCATAACGAGCCGTCTTGAAGGTGAAGTCGTACTGTCCTCTGCGATAGGAGTGTGAAGGCTGTAAGGCGTTTCCCCCAGGCGACCAGCTTATCCATACTTATGGAAGCAGCGACACTACCTCCTTCCAAGGAAGGACGGGTCAGAAAAGGTCGGCCCCAAAAACCAACACTCCAATCGCCTAGTGGTTGACCGTAACCACCGGCGCATTATCCAACACGGCCGAAATACTTTTGAAACCAAATAGTCCGATGCTGCTCAAAAGGCACTGCTGCGTGCAGCCGCATCAAGAGTGACACAGTTGTATCCCACTCCCTGCACCCTCGGGCTAGTCCGGCCCCCTGCACCCAAGTTGGTCAGAGTCATTGTTTCCAGGAATGGTCCCCAAAGAAAACCCTACTGTTCGCTGCATCGTCGGACATTTGAGTCAGAGGCTAGGGTATAATCCTCGAACGAAACCCTGCATCCTCCCACCGCCTTATGGGTCATACTTTTGAGGCAAAGGCTCAAGCTAGGGTGTCTCAACTAAACCTCATTCTTCGACCTGGGAAACCGGGAAGTATCATTTGCCCGTGCAGCTGTTCGCTAACCGGTCTTCTCTAACACTCCCCACCCGTTGAACAATGCAATGCAATCAACCCATGTGCCAGTTTCTTAGCCAATGTTCCATGACTAAACCTTCGCCCTGAAAATTAAACCAGAATAATAACTTACTGACCTCAAAATATCTTATCCACATTGCAGCCTTCAACGTCCCGTACTCTATGTCAAATTGGGCAACTGGCATCCCTTTCTGAAATGCTTTATACCTCTGTCGATATATGTTGTGTCTTCGAAACACGCCTACAAGACTCCACTTCGGTCGTGCTCCCCTGGCCGATTAGGACCATCTCAGATGTTCCACAGTTCACTCTTCGAGTATCCGGTGACCCCAACACAATGCTTCGCGGTATCTTAGGTGTGGGATTTGCACTCAGTCCCAAGGTTGAAATCGCCTTACTGAACTTAATCCCAGTAAACAGTCGTCTTTGCGCTGTGCGCCTATCTAGCTCAATTAAGATCAATGCGTTTCTGTGCGGCAAACGGAGGCGAGCCAAAGAAGCAATGCTCTCGGCTTTCATAACTGTTTGCCAATGTCATCTGACCCAACTAAATAAACACTGGATATCGTCGAGATCAGCAGATCATATTGCAGCCGTAAAGGCCATACCAGCAACTAGCGACTATGATGGCGCATGTAGATCCCTCAAACACTGGATAACCAGGAGCTTGAAATGTGACGGAGAAGGCTGGTGGAATTCGAAGGCGCGGGAGGTAGAGGAGGTCTTCGCTGCAGGCAACGGCCGCGCCATGTTAAAACTGGCCCGGGAAAGCGGTCAAAAGAAGGCAGTTCACTTCCTCAATCGCCGCCTTCAGGTTGATATCCTTCAAAAATGCAAACCATTTTAAATAACCTAACTCTGCTGCACCGTTTGTTGTGCGATTCTCACCTGCATGGTGTAAAGTGCTGCTACAAAATTGGGTTGGATCAAATCCAAACCTCATGCTTGTAGGCGAGCTAATCGACGTGGCGGATAATTTTTTCACCTGGGCAGTTGTATAAATTTCGGTGGACTGGCTGGTGATGAGATTATTTGGCGAATAGGGAAGGCCAGGGTAGCTAAAACCAACCTCCGACACCTATGCAGCCTATGTGAATTGAGTTTGTCTATTAAGGGCAGAGTTCACACTGCGATGATGCGATTCATACTGCTTTGTGGGTCGGTAGCATGGCCTTTACGCACCGAGGACATACAGATGTTATTTTTTGACCATCGGTGTCTTCGAAGCCTTGGTCAGGTCTGATGGGGAAATCGAGTAAGTAATGCTGAGGTACGCTAGATGGTCGTAGCAAGAAGGAAATTTCCCGCGATAAATGAATTACTCACACTTCATAGGTTACGCAGGTTAGGACACGTACTCTGAATACAAGAAGACCGTCTGCCTTGTAGAGGTCTTTTCGCCCATCCCTGTCTCGAGTAGGAGCGACCGAGAAGTGGATAGTGTATGTCATCACCGTCATCAAAGACAGCAACATCAGTGTTGGCACTGATGCTTCGCTGCCGTACAACCATAATGTTCGTGTAGTTATATATATATATATATACATATATATATATATATA